AAGTTTCTGATTTTTAAACACTGAGATGCATTAAGTGCCTAGGATTAATCCACCACTCCACCCATGTTCCCCTACAGACAGATGTCTTTGTGACAGCAGAATGTGCCTCAGAATTAGGTGTTCAGCAGAGTGATGTTCCTGGGTCTAGTTGTTTTGGCATGCAATGCCCTATAGCAGCATCCAAGGGGAGGAGTTGAAATGGTTTATGTCCAGAATGTGAGGGGTCTGTAGATATTTTCTCAGCCCTTCTTCTGACCCATGCAATATACTGGTCTTCTACGGAAGACAGGCTGATCAAGCCAAAAGGGCACTCACCCTGTGCCCCTCCCCTATTTGTTTAAAAAATGGAATAGCAAAGTTAAATCCAGCTCAACAGGAAATTGAGCCTTGCTGCCAACATTAAAAACGCATTCCCCCCTATAGCCACCCCTGGACTAGTGATCCAACAGCCACATAACAAACATTCTTATTTTTAAAGGAAACATTTACCTACATCACCTCCATTTAAACACAATTTGAAAAGTACCCTCCCCTTTCCCAACTCTTCTTACCCTTGATGCAAATGTCAGCCTTTTCCCACCCACCGCCCCCTGCCTATTCCCGTATAGATTTGCAACGTTGGCAGTGGCAGGAACAGCTGCGAGGGGACGGGAAGCGCAGGGTGGAGACAACTGGAAGGGGGTGGGAGGCCGAGAAGGGAAGACATATTGGGGTTCATAACAGCACACGAAGGAAGCCTCTCCAAAGAATCGCAGAGATCCGAAATTCACTCTTCCTCCACCTGCTGTAACTTACCTTTGGCGAGGCAGCGGCTGCTCTTCGTCGTCCCCCCACCCCTTTCTTTGCAAGCAGAAAGCTGGCGTCCTGCCCCCGTTCCCTTCTCGGAAGCAAGAGTTTTGCCGCACGCTCCTTCGGTGTAGCCCCAGGTGAGAGGATCAGTGGAGAAGACGGCAAAGAGGGGTTTGAAAGATTCGGGCAGTAGCGGCGGCCGCCTGCTGCGTTTGCGTCACTAGAGCTGGGGAAATGGACTCAAGAGCCGATGGAAAGGAGGCCGGCCTGGCTCCTCCCCCTCGTTTTACCGCCCACGCTGCTGCCTAGGCTAACGCCTGCACGCTACAGGCCGAGGACGTTCTGTTTCCCTCCTGTGAAGAAAAAGAGGGGGCAGGTTCGATCCCCACCAAAGCGTCGCGAAACGCCTATTCTACGTGTACTTTTTCTCTGCGTCGCAGAGCCGTACGTAAAGTGGAAATTCGCGTCATACTCACGAGAGAACCCGACCACTCTGTCCATGCACGCCTTGTCGGAAACCTTATGTCCCGATTTCTTCAACTAGGCTTATTTCCAAATAAGGGTGCGTTCTTACTGCAATCTTAGCATTTTTTTTCGAACAGACTTTTCTTCCAAGTAAATAAACCGTATGTGTGTGTTGGAAGAAATGTCCTTCCGGGTTCAGCTCCAAGTGGGGAAAAAAAGACACTGGAGACATGGAGGCTGCTTGGAAAGATGGTTTATTGTTGGACAGGGCCACATGGCTTGAGCCCTGGACAGTAAAGGTGATCACGTGCTTCAATGTTGGTGAAGAAGAGAAGGGCTGAGGAAGGGGCTTGCTAGGCTTTTTATACCCTGTTTAGACCCACCTCTCTGTTTCCTGTTCCTGTGTAAGAAATGTATTCTGATTGGTTGTCAGACTCTCATGGTGCCATGCAGGGGGCTACTCTCTAGGCTGTTTTGAATCTAGGTGTGGATGAGCTCTCAGATGCCATGTGCTCAGCTGAGTTGAGTTCCAACATTATCATGCCTTTACTCTCCCCCCCTGCAGTGGAGAAGTCTTTATTATGTAAAGTGGACTAGCCTGGCCTTCTCAATGGACCATTAACTGGGGATGGGCAGGGAGCTACAGGCAACTATTCTGTCTTTTAAAACATGTTTCTTTTCACATCCAGAGAAATATTCTGCCTTTTCAATATTTCCTAGGATATTTCATTTTTCTGGGAGAGGGCTGGATGATAACTTCCCACAGTTTGAGGTCCTGAAACAGAAAAGGTGGATCACATGCTTCAATGTTGGGTGAGGAAGAAGAGAGGGAGAAGGGGCTTGCAGGGTTTTTTATAATCTGTTCGGCCCGACCTCTCTGTTTCCTGTTCCTGTGTAAGAAATGTATTCTGATGGGGCCATGGGGCAACTCTCTTATGTTGTGTTTTGAGTCCAAGTTTGGTTGAGTTCCCAGACACCATGTGGTGAGTTGGGTAAAGTGCTAATACTATCATGCCTTAATCCCATCACCCTTGAGCTGAAGGGGGGAAACTATTTGTTGTGTAGAATAGACTGACTCAGGCATTTTAATGGGCCATTAAGAAAAGTGGGGGCTATTAAGAGTGAGTCTGTTTTCTGCCTAAAAACATGTTTCTCCATTTCTGATCCAGGGAAATATAATATTCTGCCTTTTCAATATTTCCCAGGATATTTCATTTTTCTAGGAGAGGGGTGGGTGCTAACTTCCTACATGTGTATAAGTCTAGGTTCACTATTAGCGTAGCCAAATTCTTCCCCCTCCTGGAAACATTTCTGTACCTTGTGCAGCCAAGACGACTCAAACAGTATTTACGACAGTGATTATGTTGTCCCCAAACCTGGGCTTTTGCTTGGTGTTGTAGGAAGTTATCACCCAGCCCTCTCCCAGAAAAATGAAATGAAATATCCTAGGAAATATTGAAAAGGCAGGCATCCAGGCATTTCCCTGGATGTGAAAAAGGAGAAACATGTTTTAAAGACAGAGTAGCTCCCTGCAGCTTCCTGCCCACCCCCTTTGTCAATGGGCCATTAAGATTTCCAAGACAGTCCCTTTACATAATAAAGAGTTCTCCCTTTCAGCTCCAGGGTGATGGGATTAAGGCATGATTAGCGGGGAGTTGAGCCTCCACAATTTCACTAGGACCTAGTCTCCTGGTTGAAAGGGATGCACACTGGATGGTCCAGGCCCAAGGGTTCGTTTTCAGGATGTAACGAGAAAGAGAATTCACAACCCCAGTGAGCTGGCTCACATACTGATGGAGAGACTCCTCCCCCACCAAATGCATAGCCTCCCCACCTATTCTATAGAACAGATAGGCACATCCATACAGAATTTCAAAGGGGCTAAGGCCACTACATTTTCGTGGGGCAATTCTGAGCTGTAGCAAAGCTATGGGAATGGCCTGCGGCCAGTGCAGGTAGGCTTCCTGACAAGAGTTGGGATATGGGCTACTTCTTTAGCCTTGTTTGTATGGCATGGAAAAGCCTCAACCCACCCAGAAAAAGTGCACACCAAAACCAAGAGATATCTAAATCCCAGTTTCCGGGGAAACACAGTGAAATCTATTTGCCACACAGCACCTGGGTATGAGTCCTGTAGAAGGACTCTCAAAGGAAGTTTTCAAGCTGTCTTTGGGTTGTTTTGTGCACAGCGGAGACAGGCTGCAGCGACCTGGTTAGCAACAGCATATGTGCCTTTTGCCAGCATATATCGGGTGGCAAAATCAGTGAGCGTTTTAGCCCCCCAGTGTGTCTCTTTGTGTAATTGGTCAACAAAGCTCTTAGGGGAACCTTAGGCACCACCACCTTTTGTCCTAACTTCCACCACCCATACTGGGACCGAGTGGCTCCCAGGTCTTGAGCCCATTTTTCTTCCTCCTTTTGTCTCCTTGGGTCTCCTACCCCTTCAGTGCCAACCACTTCATGCCAAGGATACACAGGTGGAGGGCACTGATGTCAGACACCCTCCTTTTAATGTTCCAGTTTTAGATTTGATATCTGGGATTTTACCCCTTTTTGCCTTGCCTCTTGGAGGCTTATTACCCATCCTTGTGACTATTTCTCAGGGGGTTTTCTAAGAGTGTTGTATTCTGTCTACCCTGGACTTCACACCTTACAACCCCTGGGGGTGTCCCCCGCAATAGTCTCACCTCATCCTGTAGATGGTCAAGCTTGGCCACACAACCTGAGTAAGCCTGGTTTTTGTTTCCAATATCTTCCTCCACAATGAAACTATCCACACCTTGATTTTGATAAGGGACTTATCTCAGGGCCAAGTCCAAAAGTAGGCAGCTTATGGTCATTCAATCAACCTTTCTCTGAGTCAGGATGGCACGCGTGTCCACTCCAGGAGCCCTTGTGTCAGCTTCTGCCTTGCTGTTGCTTCAGCTGCCATGAAACGGGGAGGGAGGGCTNGCCCTTACTGATTTCTCAACAGTCTTCAGTGCTATCAACCACGACTTCCTTCAGGAACAGCTCAGGAGATTTGGATCAGGGAGGCACCATCTTGATGTGGTTCTACTTTCTCCAGGGCTAGTTCCAGTCAATGCTGATGGGAAAAAGTAAATACTGAGACTCCTGCTTTGTGGAGTTCCTTTGGGGTCCAATCTCTCCATTCCTATTTAACATCTACATGAAACCACTTACTGGGGTCATCCATCAACTTGAGACTTCATCAGAATGTTGATGATATCCAACTATAGTTTGCTGCCTTGGAATGATAAGTGATGCCACTGGAGTTCTTTCAGTGTCTGGAAGCTTTGGAATCTGGATGGGGAAGAACAGGTTTCATCTGTGATCTGAATTTTTCTAGCAAAACTAAGTATCTGTGGGTTGTAGAGCCAAATGAGCTAATGAACAGTTTGGGAAACCTCTTGCACTCCGATTCTTTTTCAAAGAGCATGTGGCAGGTGTGACCAAGAAGGGTCTTCGGATAGGTTCATCCCATGTACCAATTGAGCTCTTTTCTGCATTGGGAGGCCCTATTCACAGAAACTCAGGTCTATCTACTGTTTGGATTACTGTAAGGCACTCTACATGGAACTACCTTTTAAGAGCCTTCAATATTCGACCAGAATGTGTACAATACAGTGACATGAGCAGTTTTAGGTGTTTCAGGTTGTACAAAACTGCTGCAGTGTGAACTGCACTGGCTTTCATGATAATAATAATAATTACTAATTTTTAAAGAAACTTTATTTTTTTCCTAGGCGTCCAGGGATGTGGAGGGCTGTGATTGGCTTGCATCATCTTTTCAAACATAAGACATACACTATAAAAAGACGCATAAAATCCATCAAGATTCATTATTACTATGACTCAGCAACATATGAAGATGATATTGCTGTGTTTCAACTAAGCAAACCTGTCAAATTTAATGACCATATTCAGCCCATCTGCTTGCCTAATGTTAATCTTGCCCTGACTTCTGATATGAAATGTTTTATAAGTGGGTGGGGAACGAGAAAAGAAAAAGGTAAGTGTTTTATTTTTGCTTTAAAATAACCTATTGTTGAAAGTTAAAATGAGTTTAGTAACCTCAGAAAGTTTATTTGCACTGTTGGAAGAAATGTCCTGGGTTCGGCTCCAAGTGGGGAAAAAGACACTGGAGACATGGAGGCTGCTTGGAAAGATAGTTTAATGGTGGACCACATGGCTTGAGTCCTGAACAGAAAAAGTGATCAAATGCTTCAATGTTGGGTGAAGAAGAAAGAGAGGGAAGGGCTGAAAGTTCCTGGCTTTATACCCTCTGTTTGGCCCCACCTCTCTATTTCCTGTTCCTATGTAAGAAATGTATTCTGGTTGGTTGTCAGACTCCCATGGGGCCAAGTTTTGAGTTTCCAGATGCCATGTGGTGAGTTTCTGTGGAAGGCTAATATTATTATGCCTTAATCCCATCACCCTGGAGCTGAAGGGGAGAACTCTTCATTATGTAGAAT